TTATATCCTGTCTGCAAGGCTAAGAAGCTGGGGTGCACTGAAAGCTGGCAGCACTAGCAGAAGGGGTATTGTCAATGAGAAGGAGCTCACACCTATCACCCACTTCTTAACTTCAAGAGAGCCAGTCCAAGGGGGCCTGTTGCTGCCTGGAAATTTTCATGTGAAGTATTTTCAGGAGAAGCAGAAGAAATACACCACTGCAAAACATGTAATTCTACTAATAAGAAGTGATATTTCGAATTTCTGCTTCTCTAAAATAAATAAAAATTTCAAATTTCACTCTTCATCTCTGAAGATTTTTTTTCTGAAGAAGAATTTTCAATTATTTCTGTTAGTAAGGCAAGCTCTCCCCAGAGCTTTGAGAACATTCAGGGATGCAGCATCTATTTTTATTAAATACCTGAGGGTTTTTATATAGGAGAAAGAAAATTCAGCAGAAGGCCACCATTCAGATGGTTGGGAGCTGAAGCAGCTGCCCTCCAAGGAGTCTGCACAACCAGGGCTGGCTGGAGAAAACGTGGCTTTGGGTACAAAAACTAAAAGAGGGACTCTGGACACCACAAGGAACTTTCTCCCCATATGGACAGGCAAGCAGGGGGACAGGTTGTTCACAGAGTCTGTCCAGTCTCTGTCCTTGAGGTTTTCAAGACCTGACAGGATGAAGCCCTGAGCAATCTGGTCTCATCTCACACTTGTTCCTGCTTTGAGCTGGAGTTGGAGTGGAGCTTTCCTGAGCTTCCTTGAAGCATGAATTATCCTGTGATTTATATACTTATTCTTTTGAAAGACTGCTCTATCTACTTTGAAGTATAATGAAACTTTCAGATCTTTTTTGACCTCCCCAAACCTAAATCACTTTGCTAATTTATTTGCCATTTTATTTCTCTGTGTAATCCTACTAAATTTCATCTGACTGATCTGTAGCTCATCAGGTCTGTTTTCACTTCTTATCCTGTTCTGAGAAATCCCTCACTTCTGGATCCTCCTTAGAGAGCACTGGCACACCTCCAAGCCACAGCATGGAGCAGATCCTTGCAGATTGCCTCAACATGTTCAGTCCATTTGTGCTTAAATACCAGTAATCATTCTTGAGACATGCTGCATCAGGAGTCACACAGTGTCCAAGCCTTGCTCTACTCCTTGCTGCTGCTGATTTAATTGACCAGTTTTCCAGCACAGGAAGGAAATTTGATCTGAGATGATTCATACTGAAGAACTTAATTTTGAAGAACCTCTTTATGAGCATCTTGAATTTTTCTTGGCACATAGAAGCTGCCTTGGTAGCACATGGCAGGCAATATTACACTTTTTCTTTGTTATTCTCAATAGTGCATGCATAGATGTAAATATACACATGCATACATATATTCCTGAGTGCTTATTTCAGATGGCCAGAAGCAATGTCAGAAGCTCATGAAAACCACCTCCTGATGGTTGCTGGATTTTTAAACATTTCTAGTCACTTACTGGTCCCTGCAGTTAGGCTGGCTGTAACTTTCTGAACCTTCCTTTTCTCCCACCTTAAATATTCTTTCAGCACTTCTTTGGTCCTTTAGTTTCTTCCATGACTATTCAAGGATAATTACTCCTAATTTAGGTAAATCTTTAACATCTCCTAAGATGCCATTGAGTGAAGCTCATTGAGCTGTCATGAATACATCTGCACTGCCTTCCACCCTGGCTCCTGCTCCTCCTGTGTGTGCTGTCCAGGTATTCTTTTCTGCCACTTTCCTCTCCTTAGAAAGCGTATGATTTCTATGATCAGTCTTACAGTTACTTTATTTCTTCAGCCATGCTTCCCTAGTCTATAAGGAGGAAGCCTAAAATTTTCCCTGGATAATTCTTTTCACCCTTCCTTTGCCCCTCCTGCCTGTCAGAGTTGCATTCCACCGTGGCTAGACAGGGAAACCTTTTATGCATGGGACACTGCAAAAAGAGTATGATAGCAGAGTCTTACTGTCACATCACTTGTGTTATATAAGTGATAAGTGTTTTGGGAAGTATTAATCTTTTGGGAAGTATTAAGATAACAGCATGTTTGGTACTAATCAGATGATGCTATTGTTTTGCTCTTCTTTGCCATATTATATTACTTAGGAAAATGTTCTTCATTAAACTCTTTCACCTCTGTGAACCTCTGTGTCAGTGGTATTGGGTGCCCAAGTGTATTTCTGTTTATTGTAGTGGAAGTGTATGCACAAATTGAATTCTTTAGGGGTTTTTTTGAGAGCATATGTTTTGGGAGCTGAAAATTGCAAGTATTTGAAGCCTAATCCCCATTCTTCCTTCTACTGCCTAATTTTTTGGCCTCAGATAATCACTTAACCTTTTTCTTTGCCTTCCTCTCCACCACAGGGATATGCAACTTTAGGTAATTCTCCTAGGCATTTCATACTTCATTACAAATTTAAAGTACTTTGAAGATATAAAATATATATATAGTAAATGCTAAATATTTCTACAATGGTGCAAGGAAAAGGTTGATTTCTGAATTTGAATTCATTACCATTACCATAAAATTAATGTTCCATCTGCAATGCATTTCAGTACCGTAGTCATTCAAACATTAATGAATACAAAAATGAGTAATGAGTTTTGCACTGCTGCCCTTTTGACTGGGCATTGGTGGAGTTGTGGGAAATTCTCAGTCTCTGCTGGTCTGCTTGATTTATTGTTGATTGTATTTAAAGATGGTTTCACTTAAACCTAGATCCTTCAAACCTTTATATCTGGAGGTAGATCTGATTATTGAGGGAAATTGACTTGAACAGTCCTTGAAGCACATACTCAGACCCAAAACTTGTGTGCTTCCATTTGGGAGAAGATGGGCTGGGGAGAGAGGGGCAGGATGTGTACCATTGACAAGTGTAGGAGAGGATTAATTCCCTGCCTTCTTTTTAAATGGAGCATCTTGAAGCCTGGGCACGCACGTGCTGCAGGGTTACCTGTCTCTGAGTTAGCACCAGGGAAGCTGAAGGACTGAGCTGGCTGAGGCCCCATGCCAACCCCTAAAAGCAAGTCCTCAAGAGGGACAGGATTTAAAGGCACACTTAATTTTGTCTCAAGAATATCATGGTCCTGAAGAGTGGCTGCACGACATGGCAGCATTGTGGCAACCCCTTGCCAGTGCTGAGGAGAAATAAAACATCTGCCAGCATGCAGTATCCTGCTGCATCCCTTACTGCATTCAGCACCTCAGTGTGTACAAACAGCAGTGCAGTCAGTTTTCTTGACTACCTTAATTACCAGATGCTTGGGCATGCTGCAGCAGCGTGGAAATGCCTTCTCTTTGCTCTTCTCTTGAAAAGCAGAGGCACAATCTTATGCCATGGATTCCTATTCAGAAATCTTCCCCTCCTCAGCAAACAGATAGAGGCATCACAGCGATGGGTATGGTCAGAGCATCCAGAAGTCAGTTTGCTTGATGTACACAGAAAAAGGTCATTGCTAAGCACTAGTGCAGTGTCCTGTGGATGGCACAGCAGCAGTAGCTGCAACAGTGTTTTGCTGCTGGCCTTGCACTGAGACTGTGTTCATCACATGGACGAGGACTAGTTTGTAGCAAGTTGCAGGGAATGAGGTAGAAGACTGAATAAAAATCAGTTTTAATTAGCTAATTCTATGAAAATGTAGAGCCCTGCACATCATGAAGGAGAAGCAAGGAACTTTGAAAACAAGATGAGGGAGGAATTAACCACATTTGTGAAAGTTTTAAAATTACTGAAGCTGGAGGAAGGGATGTGTGATTGTACATTTCAGATGATGAAGGAAATAAGGGACAATTAACAACATTAGACAGCCACCAGGCTGTCTGGCAGTGCTCTGCATTCAGTCCTGAGGATGCCAAGCTTCCCTGACACTAAACAGAAGTGGTAACTTATTCTGTCACCAGCCAGGCAGCCAGGGTGCAGGCTACAAAAGGTAAGATCAAGAGTCATATTTTAAGAAGACTTGCACTTCATCAGGTTGATTTGAGCATTAGTGCTAAATTCCTGCTGCTGCTGCTAACAAAAAAACAGCAATGCACATTCTTGATGCTGTTAAATTACTGATAAATTATTTGCTATCTCTTCTGGATGCTGCAGTTGCATTTTTCATGTCTGTTTATTGCCTTTTGTTGCTGCCTGCTGAAGATAGCGTGGGAAGATCCTATGTCTGATGCTTTGTTTTAGTTGCCTGGCTACTGTAAAATGTTATCTTAGCTTTTGCTGAGGTGCCACAGATGCTTTATTAATGATTGTCCAAACAGGGAAATATATAAAAGATGCTGGTGAATGCTGTGCTTGCCTAAAGTTCTGCTGCTTTTGCTAGAGATGCTACAATATGCTTACTTTGCTTCGCTACTACAGATTGTCTGTACAATAATGTAGAGGGTAGGCTGAAACCTTTCATTTACACACTGGGGTCATGGTCAATGCCAAAGGTAATATTATCTGTATCTTAGTATGTAAAAGAACTGTTGTTGGAAGGAGATGGTGGGCAGCTGCTTCACTAAATTGCAATGCATTCATTTCTGGTAATTGTTTTAAAGAAAATGTATTTTTCCTGCTGATTGTGTTGCCAGATTTTTTTTTTTTCCCTTCCTTTCTCCCTGTGAATGTCTCCAACAGAGAGAAATTTAAGTCTCAAAACTTACTTGGGACATTGACTTCAAACTTCTTCCCTGCCAAAAACTGAAAGTAACTAATATTTCTTCTGCTCTAGGCAGTTTCTACTTATGCTTGCATAACTTTATCTCTTTACATCATAAGCACTTCTGACTAAATTGTTTTCTTCTACTCACGGTCTGAAACCTCTTCTAAAGTTTCTGAATAAGCTATGTTCCTTTTCAGTCGGTCCAAAAATATTTTGTCAGCAAATAAATAAAATAATTACTTTTTACAACTGTTTTACTTCCTTCTTTAGTATTATTGCAAGCCTTTTCTTAATTAATCTTGCCTTTTGGCAGTTGCAGTGCGTTAATATTGACAAGATGAGATACAGTTTTCTGTTTATATTAGCAGTCTTCGGTCTGTGAGATCTGGACCAACCAGAATGCAGGATATCCTTTCTCATCGATTCATCAGGTTCATAATGTAAGACACAGCGATAAATGGCTATGTTGTCACTCTATGGATGTACAGTCTGTTGCCTTGGTGTTATCTGCGGGTGTCGTGTCGCTGAAATGACGAAAGCAGTCCGTACCTTGTCCTCGCCCTGTGTGGGGACCGTGTGTGCGCGCATTGGTGTGTCGTGCCGTGTGGTTGGCGTGTGTCGGCTCCGTGGTGTGCGTTCCTTCAGGACAGCCAGCAGCTCAGGGGGAGCTCGGAATTCTGGTCCTCGTGTGTTTGTTCGCTCCCTCTTGCCAAGCGGGAAACCAAAGTGTGAACGGCTGGGTTTGCACGGTTTGGCCCCGCCGTGTGTCTCTGTGTTGGTCTGTAGGCCTTGCCCGGCTGAGGTGACACGCTGCCTTGGCAGAGGCACTTTGGGGGTGCCACGCTGATGGTGCCCTGGGTTTTTGTCACTTCTGGGGCAGTCACAAGCGCTGTGTACGTGAGAGCAAACCTGCTGATCCATACTGCAGTGGGGTAAGCACGACAGCCTGTTGCTCAGCGCAGCATTTGGGAGCAGCTGTAGATTTCTCCTAATTCTGACACCCCTCCTTGGAACATTTCTGCCAGAGAGGGGTCATTTTGGCTACCGAGCTTCAGAACTATTTTAAATCTGAAGTACACCATGAACTTGTTTCCATTATTTCAAAAGCCAAACATTTAAGGAGCTAAAAAATTTGTCTTCCTCTAGGAATTAAAACAAAAGCAAATAATGAGGATTCGACTGGTCTGCAGAACATTTAAATTTTTCACAGGGAAAAAATGATAAATTTTTCAGCCAGAACTGTTGTATCCATGTGTGCTCCAATTTGTTGTTGTCATGGTGACTAATACACGTTGCCATAACCAGGCATGAGGCTTAACAGGTGAAAAGTTAGAAGATGTGGTCCTTGTTAAAAATAACTGCATTCAAACCACTCAAAACCAGGCCTTCTTGGGGTTTTTTTCTTCCTTTTAGCATGGAGGCTTTTCAACTTGACATTTTTATAAAAAGATGAGGGAGGTGTTAGATTTTTATAGAAGATTTATTGAGGTTACTTCTTATCTGCGACTATCTCTGCATCCAGGTGCCTTTAATATGAGTCAAATACACTTCTCAGAGAATGGGATGAGGTAGGAAAATGTGCAGCAATTGTAGAAAAAATTATAGAGAAAATAATAGCTGCAGTCTGCTTCTGTAGCTCATTTGACATCAAGCATCCAAACCTTTCTAGAGAAGTGGGTATCTGCCCGTTTTTGGGGTTAGAAAACACTGCAAAAGCACAAGATATTGTTCTCTAAGACTATTAAAAGTTGTCATTGCAAAACAATTGAATCCTTACTCCTCTGGCACCTGCCTTGAGACCATTTTCTGATTATAAATTCTTTATCTGCAAAATGTGGAGCAAAAAAATCTTTTTCATGTTAGCTGAGGCCAGAGAGAGGAAAGGTGCTGGTTAAAGTCATAGGGAGGTTAGAATACTAAACCACAGGCAGTACAGCAAAAACCATGTGATAAATTGCACAGCTGTCTGATGAGCTGTAAAGTTAGATGAGGAAGAAATTATCTCTCGCCTTTCTACTTCATCAGAGAGATAAATATCTCCATCCGTATATTGTGTCATAAAAAATACATAAGCTTAAATGTTTGATTATTCCTTATAATTGCAAATTAAATATTCAAACCAGAAAATCCTTATCCTATCATATCTATTTTTAAAACTTAAATCAAACATTATAGTTGGTCTTGCACAGCAATTTATGAACGCTTCTGTACTGCTTGAAAAGTGTATTAGGTCCTTATGAAGGACCTGAATCTCAATACATCACCCATAAATTGTTCCACATCAGCTCCTCAGATTTTGTACTACTGGTAATTTGTATTTTTCCACCCCAACTTGAGCTTTGTGGTTTCAAGCCTTCTCTAGGCCAAAGATGGTCCTATTTTGTATTTTTCTTGACTTTAGATGTCATCATCACATCCTAAATCTCAGAATTTCAGTATCTGACTAGAGATAGTCAGCTGAGAAGCTCCCTTTCTTCTTGGTGAGGTTTTCAGACATGTATTTATGAGTGTCTTTAGCTGTCTAAATCTTGTTTAAAAGCTTTTCTTCCCTAAAGAGAAAAAAAAAAAAAAAAATAAAAAAGGGAAAGGAAATTGCAAGGGGAATATGTAATAGGAATTACACTTCTAAAAATCTTCATGGGTCTGGGATTTGGAGACTATCCTGTTACAACTCAGTCTAAATAGGTTATGAATACTAACAGTGATACTGTTTAAAAGTTTAAGGAGTTTGGTAAGAAACAAAAGGAAAGGAAACTGGGAGCCACTTCTGCTGAATATTAAAAAAACACCTATGATACAGCTGTAGAAGAAAATTTTGACTGTGTATAAATTTTATATAAATTTTGACTGTATTTTCCATCCATCATAATAATCTATAGCTATGTGTTTAATTTTATGCACTTTTCCTAGTAGCTGCTCCCTTTACAAGACACACTGAAATATGTGAAAGTCCTCCAGGGGCAGTGGTCTGTCAGGAAGAGCAGAAATCCTGTATGTCTGCATTCCCCTAACCTCAGCTCTACTGCATGTTTAGAACATCCTAGAGATATATATAGCAATCTTGGCAATTCTGTTTTGTGTAATTTAAAAGGAGTAGGAAGTAGGATGATTATATTTATAGAGCATTCAATGGGTAAAAACATGGTCTCCACACAGTCCCACTCTGTCTCATACACTAGTTTTATTAGCCTGGTTGAAGATTATTTCTCATTTCTTTATAAAATTGAGCCAAAACAAGAGGTAATCATTGTTCCCCTTTCTCTGCCCTTTACAGACAGAAAAAATGCATTTCTCTATGCTTTTCATGCTTAATGTGCAAAAGGGAAACAAACTATAAAATTATGTACTCATTTTTCTCCTTATGTACCCTGTTTAATCTGCCAGCGCAGTCCCTCTCCTGCAGGTGAGGAAAGCCACCTGCTGAGCAGTGCAACAGAAGGCTTTGGAGCACTACCCCTGGCCACTTGCTCAGTAGAAGTTCTGGTCCTGCCTCACAGCCATCCCTGTGCTTCCTTGGTAGAGAGACCAGTGGTCAGAAGATGTACTTCTGTAGCTTTTCTGTCCTGAATTTACTCCCTGTCCACACTTTTGCTAAATGGCCAGGATGTATCTCCTGAGCTTTGCTTCCTTCCACAGAACATGCAGGAGTGTTAGGAGGGAAAAAAAGAACTGAATCAAATGCTGTGTTAGCTGTGGCCTTGAACAGATCATAAGAGAGCTGAGCACACTGTGAGAAGTGGTGATGGGTGCAATCCATCTTCTCTTGTTGTCAGACAAGCTCCACTAATAAGGATGCAGATCCTTGCCCCTTGTAATATGATGGAAATCTTATTTTATAAGAAGAACTGCCTCTTAAAGAAATCAAATTCCCACTTCAGATTAAATAAGATAGAAAGTTTTTATGCATTAGTGGCCAGAAGGATTCACTTTTGTGGATGTAAACTGACAAAAATTGGAGCAACTGCTCCTGCTTCTTTCCTTTCAAAACCTAATGCTGAAGTCATATCCATGGCATATAGGCAACTTAACTAGGCAAAACAGAAATTACATTACTGTGTAACTGGTAGATTTACTAATGGTGCCAACAGTAACTAGGTTTGACTTGTTTTACCATGTTCTCCTGCTTGAAGTTGCCATATTGGCAGGGTAATGTTGATGTTTCCAGATTTATCTCTTGCTTTTCATTGCAAAGTTGTGCAAATGCGTGTCATTTCGTTATTTTGTGACACATGAAAATGATGTACTTGTTCTGTTTACTCTGTCCTGACTTAATTAGTAAGATGTGATAGTTTGCTACACTTTGAATGTCTTCGATAAGACTTTTTTCATGTGTTTTTGATGCCTAACTTCTTTTTGCTATAAAAGTCTAAGCTTCTAGCCATGTTCTGTGTGAAATGCTGATGACAATTCCTTGTCAGCTTCAACACTTATTTTAACAAAATGACATACATAGAAAATGCACAGAGATAAGTGCAGGTAAAGAAAGAAGTAGCATAATCCAAACTGAAATAATCATATAGGAAAGGGTGAAATAGTTTGAGAGAGAATGGGCAGGAGAAGGAGGAGGATCAGGAAGAACAAGTGTAATTGCAAAAAGACAGAGTTGTGAGAAGAGGGGAATTGAGAGGCAGTTCAGACCGGACAGGATAGGTGAGAAGTGGGGGTGGTGGCAGAGGGAAGGGGGCTTAGGAGGAGGAGAAGCCCACCCATGGGTCATTTTCAGTTCAAGTGAGCTGACGCACAGGCCTGCAAGGGGCCCCTAAGGAGACAGCAGGTCCTATGGAGCCATGATCAAATATACACAGTGGCAGGTGAGACCCAGAGCAGCACTGCCAGGCTGGGGACATTCCTGTCCTGATGCCTGCACTGGCTCTTTTGGAGGGAAGAAGAGCATGCTGCGAAGGGGTTTGGCAGCAAACTGCACTCCTACCTGTGTTCTCTGAGGGCTTTGAGGAAAGAGAGGAGATGACACCTCAGAAAGGCAATCTCCTATATCAATGAGAATGATGAATGTGGAAGGGCAGTATTAGTACCTCCACAATGAAGCATCAAGAGAAGGTGATCAAAGTAAATAATTCGCAGAGAGATTAAAGAATGCCTCGTGTGTTTGAAGAATGTATAATAAGTCTTCAGATCAAAGCAAAGTCTCTGTTATTTAGCCATTTAGGAAAGTTAGTTATTGGTTATGTGTGCCAGATAATGGAAGGCATATTAACTGTGCAGAAAAGCTTGTAAAACACATAGCAGAATTTGTGAAAGGCATTTTCATGCATCTCATGATTTTTTTCAAGTGCTCTCATCCTCATATATGTATTGTAAACACTTATTTTTAGGGAACATTTCCGGTGTCTAATGATTTTATTCTCAAAGCAAAGAGATTTAATTAAAGCCTCATTAAACACTACAGTAGATGACTTTGGATTATAAATTAAACCATGAAAAATGTTGTAGGAGTTGTGTTCCCTTATTTTAGTAACATGGCTCTATGTGTAGAAAATAAATCCTTGTTAATTGAGCACAACAGTGGAGGGCTACTTTATAGTGAATTTGCCTGCACATACTCTTACATCTTGAACAACTGTGGTTTTCAGACAGGAGACTGGGGAGAGCCTTCAATTACCTTGAGACCTCCAAATGAAGCCACAGCATCAACGCCTGTACAGTATTGGCAACATCATCCAGAGAAACTCATCTTCCAGTCATGCGATTATAAAGCATTTGTAAGTGTTGATAAATTTAGTGGTTTGATTTGGGGTTGATATATTAAACTTGGATTTTGATAGGCTGTTGTGTTTTACTTTCATTTATAATACTTTTTTAGTCACTTTTGGAAACAGGTTACTACTTCTGAAATATAGTAATTGTAATAAATGAGAAACAAGGATGCACAGTACTTTTTTGCTATGAATTGTGTGATATATTGCAGTCCATGTGGCATTAATGTTAGAGAACGGGCACTAGTAAGTGGCTAAGTGTTGTTGAAGTGAGCTCCTACTTTTCATCTCTTAAAAATCGCATGTCTCTGAAAGAATAATAAAACATGATATGGGATCCTTATACCTACCTTAATGCTCTGTGCACAGCAGTTTAAGTTAAGTGTTGCCTCACCTGAACTTTATATATGTGTTTTTGGGAAAGGAAAATGAGAAAAAGAAGATGAGGGTCCTGAGTGTTTTCCATCCATGGGACAAGGGCACATTCAGACCTCTCCCAAACTGATGGCTACTTGTAGTACCAGTAGCAGTCAGTTCCATCAGGGCAGGGCATACTTATTTTTACCTCCATGTGGCTGCAGGAGATTATCACTTCCCATCCCAGGAGCTTCTCTAAAGATTTAAATAAACTAAACTAAAGACAATTAGTCTTCAGCTGTTATAAATGCTTGTGGAGGAGACAAAAGTCTCCTGCAGTACAGAAAGTCAGTGGAAGGCTTTTTTTTTTCCCAATGAAAAACAGTTTTCTGAAATCTTGAGTTCCATGCCAACAGCAGCGGGGGACTGGAGCTTCTGGGGAGCTGAAGAGGCATGTCAGCCCACTTTTAAAATGCTTGAATTTCTTCCCCTTCTGACTTTGCTGGAATGCATTGTTGAAGTTGCTGAAGCTCACTGTGTGTCCTCTCTGGAGGTGACTGCCTTATGAAGGAAGGCTGGCTTATGGTTCAAAGGAAAGAGGCTCAGTAGTTGCAGTGACTTTAGGATAGTAGCTGGGGGCTCACCACTGGTCCAGGATGTGGGGTTGAGATCCTCTTCACCTGAAGGGGCTTGAATCTTTGGTGCTTTTTAGGATAATGTTCTGTTCACTAAATACTGCTTCATTTTGGGGAACAGTTGGAGGTTTCTGGATGGGATTTAAATCATATCTGGGAAGGTAGGAATTAGAGACTGAATGCAGGTGAGACAGAGCCTGGATCCCACTGAGGAGGAGCAGAAGGGGTGTTACAGACCTGTCTTTCTAGAGCAAAACTGTATTTTCTATCAGACCCTCATGGGCTTAAAAATTGCCATGCATGCAGTGATTATCCCTGGTCAGTAATTAGAACCTCTGCCTTCCTCAGAAAGTTACAGTCAAGGACCATCTCACCTGGTCTCAGTCTTGTTCTCCTATTCTAAACCTCCTTGCTCACCCCAGATTGAAAAGGAAGGTTAGCAACTTCTAGTTCTTTAAACATTTCTCATAGTTTTCAGTGGAGTGAACACATTTATCTTGGATGCCTTTTCACTTTTTGCATGATCCAGCAATATACTCATAATCTAATGTAACCTTTGTAGTAGAATGGAAGATGAATCATTAAAGAAATGAAGTTGGAATGACCAGGAATATCTAAGTGTCATTAAGGAAAGACCTTCCTTTCCTAAGGACCATACGTCACCACTTTGTTTCAGCTCCTTGAGCTCTTTTCACCTCAGCCTTACAGAGTAAAACCCTGGCTTGTAAGTTATAATTGGAGTAGCTTTCACTCTATGCCACTCTGTCAATCACTTAAACTGTTGGATGTTCTATGGTTTGCTACCACATGCCATTGGTGTTTGAGAAGGAATCTTTCCAAAAGCACAGGAAGTCAAAAGGAAGCAAAACTTCCTCCTGGAGTTTCGGATTTTTCTGACAACTAAATTGGATGGTACTACTGTGATTTGTTTGTCTATTCTACAGTCCACCTTGGGAAGCATTGCTGAATGCCTTCAGCTGAGGGGTTTTTGCTGCTGTGCAGATGGGACAGGAGCTGTCCTTCTCTTTTATTTCTTCTTCTTCTGCCATAAGCAAAAACCCTGGTGCCTGACCAGCTGGTATCTTTCAAGGAAAAAACAATTTGTTTTACTGTAGTCTATAAAAAAATGAGGCAAAAGAAAAACCAACCTCCAAAGCAAAACAAAAAACACCCAACCATCGAACCAACCAAATAAAAAAAAATTAAGACATTAATTGCAACCTGCCCAGAGAAGGCTAAAAATTCCAAATGTGTCAGACAACAGGATTTAGAGAAAAACATGGTTCGATTCAATACGGTTTTGTTTACTCTTCTAATTTCAGAGCTTGCTTTAAATTTGTTGTTTTTCTTCAAGGGCAATATCAAACTGTCCCATCAAATTAATGCCCAAAGCCCTATTCACGTCACTATCGAGCCCCCAGCTGGACTCACAGCTGCTTGGTTTATGAATCTTTCACATCTGCAGTCCTCTAGGAATGCCCTTCATTCATTCCTTTATGCTTGTGCTTATCTGGTAGTGTTGATGTTGCTCACTGGCCCATTTATAATACCCTATAAAGTGTTTCTCACTAATTGCTGTGTTGGCTACTGTCTACATTGAAATATTTATGCATTTTCTTGCAGGTCAGAGACTCCTGCAGTACACAGTGTAAACTGAAGGCTTTAAAGAAAATCTCAGTTTAGGTCAGGAGACCAGAGAACTGAACCAGTACACTCTGTTCAGTTTCAGCTTGCATTCATCTGTAACTGAAGTTCTTTTTGATAGGTTCTTGTCTAAGCTGAAGCTGGTTCACCATCTGGTTGGGTCAGCTTAAGCTGTTTCCAAGAGGAATCAGTCTGGTAGAGTGAGATGGGTCAGCAGAGTTGGGCTGCAGCACCCTCCAGAAAGAGGCTCCTGCCCACAGTGCTTTCTCTCCTCCTGCAGCCTTTTCACCATATTGTCCCAGTGGCACGACTCATCTGCAGCTCCCAAATTGCTCACTTAGGACAGGAGACTTAGGATAACCTGTGGCCTTGTGCTGCAGTGAGAATGCAGAGAGAGAGAGAGAGATTTCTCTGTGCCTGGGGACAAGCAGGTGAGGGGTGCCTTGCTGTGCTCTCTGCTCAGTTAAGCCAGACTCACGTGTGACATCGCATAGAAATTCAGAAATGTCCCACAGAGCTCTAAGAACACATGCACACCGACAGATAGGCACACCTGTAGCATCTACAGGAGAAATGCAGAGCGTGGTGAGGCTTTGATACAGCCCAGTTAGCCAGAAGAAGACCCCTCACTGCTAGGTGGGCATGGCAGGGATGATGCAGCCAGCCCCATCCCTGGAGGAGCAGCGCCATTCGAACACGGTGCTCTCAGGTGGGGTCCTGAGACCTCAGAGGAGCAGAGGCTGCTGTCAGGGTGCAGGAGGGCTCAAACTGCGTGTGCCACCAAGTGACACCGTGAAGGAGAGCCTGTAGCACAGGAGCTGTGTCACTGAGGCACTGCCTGCCTTGTTACCCTTGCAGATTAGCAGGCTCCTCTGAGGGCACAGTGGTTTCCAGCGAGCTGAGCCAGGACACAGCACCCTGCTGCTTCCTCTCACACAGCCCTCCTCCAGATCACTAAAGGCTCCAAAATAATAGCTCAGAGTCGGCCTTTCCTTAGGAAGAAATAATGGTTTAAGCTAGTTTTAATACAGATTGTCTTTCTTTGCTGACATCGGGCTCTGCTATTTGCACGTAAATTAGCTACAGATTGAGTACACAGAGGTTAAGATCACTGCTGGCCTTCTCATCCACGTGATTGCACACATAACAATAGGAGTTTGGCAGATGGCAGCTAAAAAAAGCAAATTCTCCATTTTATAATCAAATGGCTTTTTTAAGATGGAATCTGTAGAATTTGTTCATTGTTTCTGTAACTAAAATGATAAGCTAGAAGGCTTTCAGATATTGTTTCAAAGAACTCCAGCTGATTCAATACACTTGTTGCTGTGCATTCTTGTTTCATGGGTTGATTAACACATTGGTTTAAATGATTTGTCAAAGAACTGCAGAGTAAAAATATCTAAAGCAATACGTTAAGAAATTGATTGCTACCACTACGTATTTTAAAGCCTTTTTGGTGCATTTCTGCAGATGTTTGTCAGTTCTGGAATTTCACTTAAATTAAGTTCAATGGATTTTTGTTCTAGTATTTAGGTTCTATGCTGGTAAAAGAGTTGAGAGGCACAGAGTCAACACAGGATGCATGTGCAAAGATGAGGGTAAGTTTCTAAACCTACTCCTTTCTCTATTGTAATAGTATTAAATAACATCAATCTGTGATTGCTTATACTGTACCCTTTTGCTTTTGTAATGTACCCATTTCCTTTCCTTTTTTTTTCATTGATGTTCAATAGGAAATCTATTCTGTCTTATATCTTAATTTGAAGTAATACCAAAATATAAAGATAAATTTTTATTTTGCATGTTGAATATAACAAAAAACCCCAAATGTATGTGTTATTTTCTCTCATGAATCTTTGAGTATGTTTCAAAGTACCTTCCGCACAATTTAAGCATGCCTATATCCAATTGTTTTATAGACAGAATTTATAGCTTTTACATGATAATTTAGATTGAATTTTCAATGTTAAATGCATAGTAGTAAGTATATAACATGTTACCAAGCACATTGGTTTTTACGTACAGTCTAATCCAACAGTCACATAATCCTATGGATAATTTTACTCACATGAGTATTTCTTTTAATTATGAGTTTTTATCAAGGAAAAAGGGTGAAAATGAGGTCTAACTCAATTTCATCTGATGGTGGAAAATCAACCAGGTTTCCTTCAGACTGTTAGGAATATGTTTTCCTGTGACTCTTTTGCCTGATACTGGTTTGTAGAAAATTACAGTAGTCTATCTCCAAGAAACATTGGCTGCTGGAAACTGAAAACAGGCCATAGCCTGATTTATTCCCAACAGTAGTAGTAATAACAACACACCTGTTCACAGCCATGGTGAACATGGTCTGGCATGATTAATTAATGAAGAATATGATTTTTTTTCTAATCTACCAAACATGTACAATCACCTCGATGAATGAGCAAAATCTTTTCTTCTCTGTATCATACGTCTCTTATGGAAGATGTCTCTGAGCACAAGATGTGCCATTCAGATCAGAAAGCTGGAAGATGTGTAAAATTCATGCAATCAGACAACCATTTCCTGCTGGTTACATGTGTGCAGCACACAGACTTCCATACAAGCTCTTCTAGCTAAGGGCAGGCAATAATTCACAATTACTAGATTACCTTTAGATCTGAGGCTTTTCAGCTAATTACATGCTAATCATTCCTTACCTGGGCTTAAACTCCTCTGAAAAAAACCCCAACAATTTGACACAGAGGGATCTACAATCACATACACGTGTTCTGGGGGATTAATTGAGGCTGCAAGCACACCGTCTTCCAATCCAGTTTTGAAACTGTCAGGCTTAGGAGTTCAATTCTTTAGGCTCATGCCCGTGCAGAAATTAGGGCAGAATTTGGCACCATAGTAGCATATGACAGCTTCAGTAAATTTTCTGACTGAACTAGGAGGCATTACATCAAAACAGGCACTCTGAATAATTTATAGGCATTTTAATATATATTTATGTAAGTAATAACTTTGGCCAATTAAACTTATACAACTGAAAAACTAAGTGCTTAAAAACAGATTTAATTTAAAATACACATTTCCTATATAAATAGTGCAGTTGCACTAGTTTTCTATAGTGCCATGCAGGACACTTATATAATACAGTGGTGGGGTTTATGTACATTTCTTTTTTACATTCTCGTTTGAAACAATTTTTCTGTGAGAGTGTTTATTTTGTGGTTTGAGGGGTTTTTATTACAAAGATATTTGAATAAAAGAGTTTTTAATCAGGATTTCATCTATTCTTTCTATGTAGTCCTTTTAATCATGTTCCTATTCAAGTCAAAAGCAAAAACCTTTGACTTAATGGGAACAAATTATTATGTTAGCCTGTTTCCCAGTGAGAAAAATGTATATTTTACAAAACTTTCTCCCTCTGGATGTCTCCTGAAAGTTGTCAGTGAATTGGGAGTCCAGGTTGTCCAAAGTCATACTGAAATTTTGCTTTGATGTTCATTATTGTATTTAAGTAACCTTGGGTTGTCATTGAAGCTGGTTTCTGTTATAGTTACATTTTACTTTAAATGTATTGAAAGGTACATTTCACTTACGAGAAAAAGAAGTTAAAAGTTAGATATTTTTTTGTCTGGCTCTCAGGTACTGACTTCTTTACACTTGTCTAGTGTCTCTAGAGTCAGCAAGACCTTTACATAGGGTTGTATTATTGTGATAGAACAACTTTATTTTTATTCTAGTATTTTATTTGTTATTCCATGCACATATTTCAAAACTATAGCCTGCTGCAATCTGCAAAATGTTGCGTAGGGAGGATATGTCACACGTAAACTTGTACCAGGTTGAGGTCACTCCCCACAATTTTTTTAATCTTTCTGGACTCAAACACATAATGTTTTTTTGAAGAATGTATGAAAATTAGGTACCTAATTTTTCTGTCGATGTGGCTTTTGATTCTCCATCTTTAGCCTAATGCTGCTCTCAAAAGTGTTGACATTCACTGGATGTTTTTCAGTCAGCAGGTGCACAAGGATGAAAGAAGCGTCTCAGTGAAAAAAAAATCTTGATCTTCCTTAATCATTTATAAATACAGAGAAACAACAAAAATGACATGTTTGCTGACTGCAGATCTCTCACTGTTAGTTGTAGATGCTCCCACAGTTTCCAATTATTGCAATTGATGGTTTTGGTTCTCAAGGGAAGTTTCGTGTGGATTTCCCTTGTGTCTCTCCACAGAGAGGTTTGCAGCAGCCTCCTTATAGCTTAAAAGTGAAAGGAGATCCTAAATCCTCTATAATGTAAAAAAACCCACCAATAATAATAATAAAACAAACAAAAAAACCCTGGGAACCTTTACCTTAATAACTCTTCTTGGCAATCCACTCTGCTTCTCAGCATTGTGCAGCAGTGTGCTCTAGCAGGGCAGATGATGGATTTGTTTGGGAAAAGTCATGCAGATGCAATAGCTGGAGCTCAGTGCTGGGGTCAAGGTTATACATGCTTTTCTCCCCCCCATCCAAACTGCAGCCACCCAAAATTATGGATATTTGTCAAGAACTTCACTTTTCTATTCATATATTTGCACTCCTTTATGTTTTATGGTTTCTTATTTGTTTCCAGCTATTTTCTCTCACAAACTCCCTCTCTAGTGGACAGCACGGTCTCCTTATCTCCATCCCAACTTGCTGTAAACTGACCTTTCCTACTTGGAGATTAAACTATGGGCTTGCTGTCCTGGCCAGAATGAATTTATTATTTATATTTGAGAGATGCCTTCAAGAAGTTAAGAACTTCCATCATTTTCAGTGTGAAATGGGAAATACTGCAAGTTGTGTTTCCGATCAGATTGCTTCCTTCATTGTGATTATCATAGGAGCGTGAAGGGAGAATAAGACACATTTGCATCAAAATAAAAACATGAGTTAAATTTGAGCTAGAAAGAGACTTGTTCTCTACAGAAAACTTGATTTGGCATTTACACATCAGAATTCCTTGACCAGGTGGGAATGGGATTGTTTTATACTTACAGCAACAAGGGAGACTCTTTCTTTGCAGCAGTGTTAAATCACTGATGTTGCATACACCAACTGAACAGTCTAAACCAGTCAAATATTTACTGCAGCAGAAGGGAACTTAAATTTGGTTCTTGGATCCTGCTACCTTCCTGACTATTATATTTCTTTCTTAAATATTTTCTTGTTAGGAATAGGTTCTTAAATTTCAGGTCAAAGTTCTGAGGAACCAGCAATACAATTCTGTTCACAAAGCAGAACAGACTAAAATGTCAAAGTTGGAGTTGCTACAAAATCTGGTTCTCTTATCTCTGGAGAGGAAGGTGAAGCAGAGTTGACTCACTGAAAACAGGCAGCATCTGGGGCCTTTCTTCCTCCTTTCATTTCTTATGTAAAGAAGGAACTGAATTTTGATGGCAATTTCCTTGTTTTTACTAAATCCCTTCTTACTTTTCAATCTCCATTTCATTTTTCCTCCAAAAGTAGAAGTGTAGAAGTCTGCATATGCCTCTGGTGAAACTCCCTAGGCAAATACCATATCAAACACTATTTTGGGATTTAGATTATTCAGTCTCTGCTCTCTTGGGACTTGCAGCTCTGCCTCTCTCTTGTGTGGCCACTGCTTTCAGAGGGTCTGCAGTGGAACAGACACGTGGGTATTATTCAAATGGAGAAAATAAGTAGTGGAGGAAGATTTTACAGACATTCAGTCTCTATGCACATCCACATCATACTGTACCATGTGTTCAGAGGATTGTAAATCCTTGAATTTTGTCTGAAAGGAATCTAAGGGGCAGGAGGAATGCCGAGGAATGTTTAGAGATATTGCAAAAGAAGAAAAACATCTCACTCCCAACTAAGTGCTTTACAGGTGCACCCCAAGTGCAATGTTCATATTAATGATCTGTCTTGGATGATCCACTAATTATAGAGCAGTAAAGAGTTTTGTACCACGAGGATTGCAGATGTAGTTTTATTCCAAGAAGTGTTAAATTGTCAGTAATGCATTTTTAAACCTTTTGGACTGAGAGAAGTTAGTATTTGTTAAAAGTCAGATTGTATAATTCTATGTAAATATTTTTTAAAAGGCAAATTGGCTTCACAACTAACTTAAGTTCAACATGGACTTAAGCTTTTTATTTCAATTTCATCTCATGCATGATCTTGTCAAAGTGATTCACTCACTCTCCTCTTCCCCAGCTGGGAAAGGGAGGTGATTGTCCCACTTTAGACTGTGCTGGTGCAGCCTCACCTTGAGTCCTGTGTGCAGTTTTGGGCGCTGCGTTTTAAGAAGGAAATAAAACGAATAGAGAGTGTCCAAAGGAGGGCCATGAGAATGCTGAAGGGCCTTGAGGGGAAGCCTTATGAGCAGAAGCTGAGGACATTTGATCTATTCAGCCTGGAGAAGAGGAAACTGAGGGGAGACCTCATTGTAGTTACAACTTCCTCGTGATGGGAAGAGGAGGGGCAGGCACTGATCTCTGTGGTGGCCCTTGTGACAGGACACAAGGGAATGGCCTGAAGCTGTGTCAGGAGAGGTTTAGGTTGGGTATTAGAAACAGGTTCTTCCCCCAGAGGGTGTTTGGGCACTGAACAGGCTCCCCAGGGCA